CCATGTATCATGATATGCACAAACCTTGCAAACAGCTTGGAATTCATCTCATTCACTTTCAATTTCTCCCCTAGTGACATTTTGAAAGTGTTTAGCTTGCCAAGGGCCTTGCTCATGCCTTGATTCTATGTTTTGCACATGTTACTTAATATGCAAGTAACCACTTTTCAAAGCAAGTCCACAAATTGAATCTCAACTCAAAAATGTGGCTAAACCAATGTTCTTAAAATGTTTTCTAGAGTCAAAATGATATATTACATGCCATGGTTTGGATGTGTAGGTTGAAAATATCAATTTCCGATTCATTTAACTTATACCCTTATTTTAGGTCATTTTTGCAACTTTGAGCTACAAGCATTTCCATCATCTCATGACCTCCTTACTAGCCTTAAAACATCATTTTGAACAAGTTTGATGTTGAACATTTTTCCATATGAAGCTTGGAAATAGAAGTTATGGCCTTATGGTTGAAATGACCTGTAATCACCAAATGACCAAAATGCCCTTGATTTGTCAAAGCCATAACTTGAGTTCTACAAATCCTATCAAGGACTTCTAGTACTCTCTAGAAATCTAAGAAGATAAAAGTCCATAGGAATCATCCTTCTTGGGCAAACGTTTGATGCAAGTTGGGTAACTTTCAAGGCCCCAGATTCACATACCTCAGATGACCTATAACTTGTCAAAGTCATAACTTGAGTTCTACAAATCCTATCAAGGACTTATAATACTCAAATTAAAGCTAAGAACAAGATCTACAACATTCATGTTGGGGGAAAGATGAGATGACAATCACATCTTGAGCTAAACTGCCTTGAAGATAGGGGTCAAACTAGGGGATTTTACATTGTCAAGCCTTAGAAACCGTAGCTTGAAACTTCTCAAACTCTTCAATCATGATGAGTTGACCTTGGAATCATCCTTATAACATCTCAATGCCTCAATCCATGATCACATGGCTCTTGAATTAGGTCTCAACCTTGTTCAAATCATCAGTTGACCTAGGGTTGACCCAGTCAAACCCTAATTATACCACTCATGGCTGAGTCTTCTTAATCTTGCACAATGACCTGTCTAGGCTTCATGATGTCTTTCAAGACATCTCATAAGATCTCTCAAGGCTTCAAGTCCACATTCCTGGATTCAGAATCATCTGGAGAGCTCCCACAACTCTCAAGTTAGGAGGCACACAACTCTTGGTTTCAACCACTCTCTCTGAGGATCTTTTGACTTCTCTGACAAGGATATCAACCCTTGAACACTAGAATAACCTTCTTAGCTAGCCTCAAAGCCTTTCATAGCTCTTGATTGGTAATCATACCTCTTGATCTCCTGCATACATATCAATGAAATGCAAATGATAATGATAATGTGAATGAAATGAAACATAAGCTAGGTAAGGAAATGTTGGTCAAATTTTGGGGTGCAACAGAGACTTAGTGAGATTTTGCAAGAATTTGGTGATTGTGTAAGGGAGAGAGTTCTAGATGGTTTATAGAATGAAACTGGTGTGTTTGTGATGTAGGAACTGAGTTCTATTTATAGCCAAAGGCCTTGGATCAAGGTATGGGCAAAAGTGAAGCAAATTGCCAATTTTAACCTTCCATCATGAAAATCTTTTAGTTTTCCAATGCAATCTTCTTACTTATATTTAAGCCACTCTACTAAGATATTCTCCATGCCCTATATATTGTTTTCATCATGCTTGATAGGTTAGGAGGTGACTTGTTGAAGTAAAGTTGATGATTTGACAAGGGTAGCCACCTTTTTTCTCTTTCTTCACTATTCACTTTTGCAACTTGCATTAAATAATGATTTCCTTTGATCTTTGTGCCATTTTCGTGTGAATTTATATTAAAATGTTAATTCTCAATTCAAACATCATAAATGAGGTTTAGCCTTTGATTATCATCGATTTGGAGAGGTTTTGGAATAAAAAACTCATGCTGACCTAGTTTTGCGAATGTGAGTTTTTGCCATCTTGTGGATCTTGGTTCTCTCTAACCAGGAAGAGTTATGGAACCCACTTTTACTTTTTAAAAATCCCAAATTAGGTACTAAAATATTTATGCTTGTTTTAGGAACTCATTCCCCTTGAAACTAGGTCAAAAACCCTTGTGTGGTTAAGGAGTTATGGCTTTGCCCTTTTCAAAACCTTAATTTCCCAACTTTTCGATTAGTTATCAATTCTTGATCCAATGGTCACCAAAATTCATGAATAGATGTGATATACCATTAGTAGCATAATTGCATTCAATTTTGGGTCAAAACCATGTTGGTCAATGAGTTGACTTTTCAATCAGACGAACCGATTGATTGAAGAACTCTGAATCGACTGTTGGTGTTCTAGGTATCTTGAAGCCTTGAAGCTTCTTGAGTAGACTTTACTAAGCCATAGGAACTTCATGGACCATGATCCCACCATTGGAACACTTTTTAAATCAAAAGTCAAACTACGGTTGACTTTTCCTTATCGAAAACCCTAATCGGGTATCCTGAACTGCACCGTTCTCAATTCCTAGATGACAACCTCAAATTGGATTCATACTTGACCTCATGTAGTATCCTTGATCTTATTTATAGTTGAATCAATCCAATACATTGATTGATCAAACCACCGAAGCCTCGATTTTGACGGTACGGAACCCTGATTTATCTGCATCTTGACAAAGATAAACTTGAAATGGGTTAAGGTTAGTTAATCAAATGAACATGATCCTAAAATGATGATGAGGATATAAGGGGTCAAAATTCGGGGTGCAACACCTAGTCCAACAAAAGGTGTATTTGTGATGAGCCCAAGCCTTTGCGGTTGGCATCAATTTTGGTAAAACTAACTTATCAACAATATGTTGGACAAGATGTCCTAACATAATGAAGAACTAACTGAAGATTAAGATGTTAGACAAGATGTCCTATCATGATGATTCGACATCTCTGTCTGTTATGTTTTAATTTTTAATTCTACTATTTTACTTATCCAGTTGTTAGATTATTCTAGGATTATTTGTTATTCCTAGGTGGCGTCCAAGATTAAGGAATCAGAGATTCTGATTATAATTTGAAGATGTTGTTTCTAAGTGTGGAGACACTTTAGGAAACTTAGGATTGAAGAAACTATTCTATATAAGAATTAGTTGCAGATTTTGAGGAACAAAATTGATGCGTTTTGGAGCCTAATTTTAGTCTACTTTATGGTTATAAATAGGATGGATTTAACCTAAGAAAGGTGTGGAATTTACACTGTTGCTTAGTGTGTACTAGGGTTTATACTTTGTGAGCCTCTCTTGTATTGTATTGATACTAAAGCTGGACAATTTACATTGAGTTGTAATTTTCGTCATTACTGTGATTGAAAGGGAAATGAGAAGGGTCTCATACCTAGGAAGAGTCTTAGGTAGAAATTAAGCACATGTAGTGATTAAGTGATAAGTTGTAAACTATAGGTTGTTTAGCTTAGAATCAATACTATCAAGTGGATTTCATTTCTGGCTTGAAAGCCCCCAAACGTAGGTGTTGTTGTTCACCGAAAAAGTTTAACAATTTTGTGTGTTTGTTTTTCTTTCTGTAATTTATATTATGTTCCTTATTGTTATTGTGTTTGAAGTATAGATCAAGTGTCTCGACATCTCTCGGGACATCTGAGATCTGCTACCAGAATTTCAATTGGTATCAGAGCAGACATCTTGATCTGCATCTGGGTGAGATTTAGGGAAGATACTTTCTAGTACAATGGACAAAGAAATAGGAATATTAAATAGACCACCCATTCATGATGGATCCAATTTTGAATATTGGAAAATGCGCATGTTGGACTTCATCAAGTCTATGGATGGTAAAGCTTGGAAGTCCGTGGTAAAAGGATGGGATCCTCCCAAGGCTAAAGATAAGGAAGGGAAAATCATTGATCTGATAAAGACTGAGGAAGACTGGGATGATGAAGATGAGAAGCTTGCTCAAGGTAACTCCAAATAATTGAATGCCTTGTTCAATGGTTTTAACAAGAATATATTCATGTTGATCAAGAATTGTACTGTTGCTAAGGATGCTTGGGAGATTTTGAAGACTACACAAGAAGGAACTTTTAGGGTGAAATCTTCAAGACTTCAACTTCTCACCACCAAGTTTGAGAACTTGAGGATGGAAGAGGATGAAAGTAGTCAATACTTTCATATGAACATCATTGATATAGCCAATACTTCAAGTGATCTTGGAGAAAAGATTCTAGAAGCTAAGTTGTTTCAGAAAATTCTAAAATCTCTTCCCAAGAAATTTGACATGAACACTACTAGAAATACTGTATTTAGCCTCGTTTGTTTTTCAACGCTATAAGGCAAAAAACCGGCGGTACTAAACAATTAGCCTTAGTGTCGAGGGAAGTCTAAAACAATCGAAGCTAATATTTAGCTTCGGCCAAAATGTGTCGTGTCTAATTTAGCCTCGGTTTAGTCGAGTCTAAATCAAGGCTACCTTAAAGCCAATGCTTAAAAGTCAAGATAAAGAAGTCAACAACAAAAATAGCCTAGGTCTGGCCGAGGCTAAAGTCAAACTTCATAAGTCAACAAAATATTTAGCCATGGGCCTGGTCGAGGCTAACAAAATGTTTAGCCTCAGATACTTCAAGGCTAAGGTCATCAATAAAATATTTAGCCTCGACTTGCCCGAGGCTAAAGTCAAACTCCAAAAGTCAACAAAATAATTAACTTCAGCCTAACCGAGGCTAAATTCAAATTATAAAAGTCAACAAAATTAAATAGCCTGGACCCTGTTGATTCTTGGTAATTTTAATAGTCCTACACAAATTCTTGGTAATTCTAATAGTTCTACACAAATTCTACGACTTTTCAGATTTTGATAATTCATCCATGTCAGTGAAGTGGATCGACAACTGCGAGAAATTAAGACCCTAAGTTGCAGCAAACAAGTGATAAGGAAACAATGCATCATCCTGATCATAGTAATTGAAACATTGTAATATATAAACTTAAAGCCGATATAACTCATGAACAAATGAGGAGTAATGTCAAACATGTGCAACATTCTAAGTGACTGAATAATGTCAAAAAATACATTTGAAATATCCAATTATAGAAACCCTTATAAAACTGCTTGTGTATCGCATAATTAATGGCATTTGCTGCTTCTTTGGCCGGAACAAGCCTGCAATATTGAATGAAACCAATGATGTCATATGATTAATGTTGAAGCTTGTTAGAATTTGAGAAAATATCATATGTTTATTTTACATTACAACATCTTAGTTTATCTTGTATAGTCATTAATAAAATTTTAAACTTATATTTTAAGTTTGAAATAATAAAAATTTTCAAGTTTGAAACATATATTTTAAACTTACCCACTACCACAAAGTTGTAAAATAACCTTTCCATTATCATCTCTTATTGTCAAATGAGAGGGAACATTTCCTTCACCCATGACCACCTCATCCTCGTCCTCATCCTCACTTTCCTCTTCATTTTCGTCCATCGGAATCTCACGTGAGGCATGATCTAAAGGGCCATCCATACTTTGAATGTTTAAACCTGGAGTAGGCATCAACTTAAATCTTCAGAGGTAGAGGCATGAGGAGGTGCAGATGACGATGTAGCCTGTGATGGCGGTGCGACCCGCAACTTCGGTGCAACCCGCGGCATTGGTGTAGCCCGTGGCGTCGGTGCAACCTGTGCTGGCAATGGAGTCGGAGCAGGCAATGGAGTCGGAGCTGGCAATGGAGTCCGAGTTGTCGATGGAGTCCGAGTTATTGATGGAGTCGGTGTTGTAGTAGCTTGTGACGACTGAACAAATGTAGATTTCTTTCAGAACATGCTATTTCGATGATCAATAAGCTTTCCTGGTGCTAAGCACTTAGATTTTCCTTTTTTTGGATTTGCATTTCCTCTCTCACCTCCACTTTTGTTAGTCATCTGTTGTCATAAAATACAAAACGATTATACAAAAATATAATAACAATTTAAGAAACAACTATAAAATGCATCTTAAAATACTCCCTATATCATTAACTAAATATTTTATACCAACATATTTTCATTAACTACATAAATTTAGATTTTATAATTATGATGGTTATATACCCTGACATTTTCTGATTAGAATTTAGACCATATTATTAATTTATGTCTTTGCTAATAAGAGTTTCTCCAAATCATATTCAACAATAATCTAACTCCAAAAATATTAGAAAGGTGATATGTATAAATGTAACCACATTGAATGGTATTGGAAACATGAGTAAAAAAGAGACAATGTCTATTTCAAGCAAACAGAGAAATAATCATATCATATTCATCTTAAATTTAGAGCAGTAACAAGGAAAAAGAGAAATTATCATATCATATTCATCCAGAATTGGATTGTTAGATAAAGGGGACAAAATTATGGATCTGATTTGTATTTATCAGTTGCATTTTACTCCAACAAATGAGCAAGAATCAAGTCTGACATTAATTTTAACATGGATATTGGAGCACAAAATACATATAATAAAATATAACACATCAGTTCATCTTCAATCAATATTCTATCTCTACTTCACTATGTATCAAAAATTTCTTCAAACACATCTACTTGTGTGTCATCATGCAAACAAGATATTGATTCAATTTCAATAGTGGGTAGAACAGGTAACATCTCATCAGACTGATAAGGCACTTCATCCTCTATGTTATCAATCATCACATGACCCCTTGGTTTTATGGTGATTGCCACATACCATCCACGCATATCTCTACACATTTCTGGATATGGGACATAATACACTTGTCTTGCATTTTGCGCAAGGATGAAAGGATCATAAGGACGATAACGCTTATCCATCTTAATATCAACAGTTTTATATTGTGAATGAACCTTTGTGCCTGTATTCTTTGTTGGGTCAAACCATTCACAATAAAAAAGTGGAATCTTCTCCTTCAAACCAAAGTAGTCTAGTTCATAGATATGTTTGATTATGCCATAAAAATCATATTTTCCTCCTTTAGCGAGACCTTTCACGTGCACACCATAATTGACATTTTTTTTTTTTACCTTTGCTCCATTCTTCGGTATGAAACTTATACCCGTTTACAAAGTACATGTTCCACGATATTGCCAATGATGAAGGATAAGGAGATAAGGCAATTATGTCATTGTTGGTAACTCCATTTTTCTTCTCATTTACATATTTCTTCAACCATATGGGAATCACTATATGTATTTTTCCAGATGAATCTTCTATATTAATAGAGTGACTCTCTAAGAATATGCTGCAATCAACCACACGATTCATAAGTAAATATTATCATGATATGCATCAAGATCTTGATTGATGTATTATGATGCATACTTACTCAAGATATGGTTTGACCTTATCACAAATTATCAAGATATGTACATGTGAAGACTTCCATTCCTTATCTGATAGGTAATGTTTTCCAGACTTCCCACTTGGTCGACCACCACTACGTAGTAGAGACATTGTAGGTAGGATGTCATCATGGTCTGAACAAGGATTGTTACAAATATTTGTGGTTGTAAACAAACCAAATGAGTAAAAAAATGATAACAAAAGTAATTTGTCTCACGATGTATATATTCGGTGCATATGGAACCTTCAACACTAGCCTTATTTTTCACTGCCCTCTTTGAGACTCCCATAAATCTACACATTTAATGATACCACATCTATTAAGTTATGATAAACAAGTACTCACAAAATAAAAGCAACCACAACAAATACCTTTCAAATGGATACATCCACTAGTATTGTACTGGACCACCTAACATCGCTTCTTTAGCAAGATGGATTGGAAGATGCTCCATTGAATCAAAGAAGCCCGACAGAAAAATCCTTTCTAACTTGCATATGATAATTGAAATGTTCTCATCCAACTTAACTAAGTCATCCATCCTTAACATATTACAACAAAGATCTTTGAAGAATCAGCTTAGCTCAGTTAATGGTTTCCAAACCAAATCTGGAAATGAACGAAATGCAATTGGGAGTAAACACTCCATAAAAACATGAGAATCATGGCTCTTCATCCCATGTACCGTACCCTTTTCGACATTGGCACACCTAGAGAGGTTTGAAGCATAGTGTAACACCCCACTTCCCAAAATCATCTAAATTAATAAACATTATAAATAAACAAAATCATAGTTCCAATTCTCCCAAGTGGGATATCACATAAAAACAACGTTTCCTTATAAAAAGGTTTTTCTACAAATACAGCGGAATGTTAAATAATAAAATTCAATAAAAGTTTGATACGTTCACAGGGAAATAAAATATAAGTTCAACATAAAACAAATAAAACGCCCAAGTCCCGTGCTACGTATCAGAGCATCCTAGACTCGACAATCACACTAATATCCAAGCTAGCTAAGCACCTGGATTATCTGTACTTCCGAAGAAGCACAGACCACAACAACAACAAAGGGGTGAGAAAACATGATCAAAAATATAATGGTAATGTAATACATGTAAATAAGGTAGTACAACACACCAACACACCAAGGTTCACCCCTAACAACACCATATGACGAACCTACTGTTCAAATTACAATATAATATATTATAATGCAAAATGCAACTCAACACCATGCATGCGGTACCGACTCGTTGGTTCATTCAATCGAACCTGGATAGATCACTTACGCTCCTCCTGAGACATGATCTATCCCCCACCATTCTCCACAAAGGAGTACGGATGAATCACTTACGCTCCTCCTGAGACATGATTCATCCCACCAAAACACCATGATATGCACACACCAATGCATAACTAATATATTTAGGCACTCAACGTGCACACGATCCTCCTGATCATATCATCATACATCAATGCATATATGTACAGATATAACATACACCAACACCATATAAATCAACTAGATAGTAAACAAGTTCATATTCTATCACCAAGATACAAACACATCCCACTACTCGGGGATACACGATCCTACTGATCACTACATACATATATATCAACTAATTGTCCACTAGTCATTATTACGGGAAACATGCACTATCACCAAGTACACAAGTTAGTTCCCACACTCATCATTCTTACAGTGCATCAAGGCCAAAGGGATCACACAAGCCCAAGCTCAAGGCCAAAACATCACAAAAATCACATTCTGGTTCTGCTACGTTCGCTGGCATTCGCCAGGCGAACCTGCTGGTGAAGCCCTCATTTCACTATCGTGCACTCGCCAGGCGAACCTTCATTCGCCAGGCAAACCTTCGCTGGCCACACTTGCCAGGCGAAGTTCCTACCCTTTAGGTCTGGGACTTAATTCTGAATTATTCGCTGCCACTCGCCTCAGCTCGCCAGGCGAACTCTCGCCTCCCTTCGCCAGGCGAAGCTTCGCCAACATTCACCAGGCGAAGCCCAGCGAATGCTGCGATTCATCAGTTTCCTCACAATTCTGCAGTGCTATTCTAGGCCAAATTATGCCTATCATCTCAACTCAGATTCTCAGTCTATTCTAGTAACAATCTTGCACATTACCACGAACACTCGGTTTCTAAATCCTATTCCCAAAATCAACGCCTACATATTCTACCGATACCTCAAAAGGTCACACAGAACCTCCCCTAAAATCATAACTCAACCTATACGCCAAATTAACCAAAAACAACAATTCATTCAACGATTACTATCAAATTATCAACAGTCGTCATCAATCACAAGATATCAACTCACAATATCATATATAGATGATCTTTCTACGGGGTTAAGGAATCCCCAACTACCCTATACATGTATAAACCATTTCCCAATCAAGTTTCTCCCCCCTTACCTTGTTAATCGGTTGATCGATGAAAGAACCCTCCAAGGTTTGGCCAATTCTGATTTTCCCCCGTTCCTTCGTTCTTCGCTCCCTTTTCCGTTCTTCTCACTTCTCTCCTTTCTATCGTTCCTTTTTCCACTTTCTCTAACTTCTCACAATGTATCGTAAAAACTACTAACTCCTCACATTCTCTATTTTAATTCTCTAATCCCAATAATAATAATAACTTAATAATAATAATAACTTAATAAAATAATAATAATAATAATATTATTATCTCACCAAAATAATAATAATATTAATAACAATAGTAACTATAATAAATATAATAATAATAATAATATTCCCACCAATATTAATATTATACACTATATTATTATATTTACCAAAACACCACCAATAATCCTCCCACATTAGGGACACCCACCAAACATCACCAAATACACCCCCACCAAAGGGCACACCAACACATAATATTTAAAATAATAATAAAATGACTAAATAATTAAAATGGGTGTTACAACTCTCCCCCACTTTAATTATTTTCGTCCTCGAAAATTACCTGATGGAAATAGCTCCGGATACGCTTCTCGCATCCTGCTTTCCAACTCCCAGGTCACACTGCCTCCTGCAGCACCTCCCCAAGCTACCTTCACCAAAGGTATCTCTTTCCCTCGGAGCTGTTTCATCTTACGGTCCTCGATCCTCAACGGCATCGTCTCAACAGTAAGATTCTCCCGAACCTGAACATCATCTCTCTG